GTTTTGGATTGCAAACTTGCACAGTATTCATCTCTATTATACTTACTTCGTGAAGGTTTCGTGTTTAGGCTGATTCATATCTAGAGACGTTTTTGTCCGATCCGGTATGAGAATTCTTCATTGACCACCATTTACCTAAATACATATGTATTTTACAAATACGCAGCTCAGATTTCTATGCCCAAAATTGTGGTGAGCAGCGGTGTCTGCAAAGAATGTTTTTGACTCTATTATTATGTATTTAGCGTTGAACCACACAATTTTGAGGGTAATTCAGAAATTTTAGAGGTAATCTTAAAAACTTTTGTTACCCTCAAGCGGTCAAGCCCCCAACAACTATTTAACAAAAAGGGGCCTGGCCGCCTCTGGGGCCAAGGGCCAAGAAGTGTGAGAAGGTTGATTAGAGATTACAGTACATATTATATATATGCTTTTTGTTTTAAAAAAACCCCCCAGTTGAACCGATAGTCCGAATCACTGAATCACTCTGAATCTCAGAATCCTGAATCTCAGAATCAGAGGGAATGAGAGATCCTCAGACCTCAAGTCCTCAGGCTCAGAATAATCAATAAATATATACTTAAATATATACTTTGTTCCAATCTATTAACTCTCATATAGCCTAATTTAGTATTGATACATGGATAAATATATGACAAAAATATCACTCACTCAGAGACTCTAAGTCTCAAGAAGTCGCAAGCTTTTTCTAAATACATGCATGATGCTTTTTTCTTCTTCAAAAGTGTCATTGATGACTAGAGTATGAAGTATCGAGTGTCTACTGTCGAGTCTCGACTTATTTCTGCCATCCTCCCATTTCCATGAGGGTACGTACGACATATGACCAAATCGTTATTATGCATATAGACGCTGTACCGTTAACCGTGTACTATTGCGAAGTTCTACAATGTCAGACAAGTCGAATACAATAATATACTTCTGTAGATATATACGTTGTCTTAGATACCGTCAAATACATTTATATTTATATGAATGTCTACTTCTTGTACAACATCTATATATGAATATCACAGTATTGTATCTTCATATGTATCTAGATGGGCACAAAAGCATAAATATATATATATATATATATATATAATATACTATATACAATACAATATAACAATATAGTAATATAATACGAAGAAAAAAATTATATATATATAAATATATATATACTAAAAGTGATCATATGTACAACCGTATAGCTTTTCTTAATGCATACACGCACTACGTATACACGCACTACGTATACACCTACATATATACACACATATACACATGTGCATACACACACACATTTATATACATATATATATATATATATATATATTTATATATATATAAATATATATGTGTGTGTGTGTGAGTGTGTGAATATATAAATATTCATATAATTACATAAATATATATATATATAAATATATAATATGTGTGAATATATAAAAATACACGTGTATATACGCGTGTTTGAAAATATGTGAAACAAACATTAACACACATCCTTATCTTTGCAGAAAAATACACATAATATAGAGGATTTCACACAACCATACGATATTTGGTGAAAACATGCTTGCAATGATACCCACTCGTCCACCTTCTTTTATTTTACATTCGACAGAGGAATATTAACATCGCATGAAACAGACACAAATTCGTCCACATTTTATCCTACATCCTATACCGGGTTGTATTTGTTCGCAAAAGAACGAAATCACATCCATTACAGACGGAAAACGATAGGTATGCATATAAATATTTACGTGTTACAAAATTGCGTGAATATGTGCACACCACACACACAATACATAAATATATATATAAATATACGTGCACACGTACGTATCTAGGGTAATAGACTCCTAAAATAGTTTGGAGGCTATGAACGTGTATACGTGTATATATGTGCGTGTGTATAATATTTGAGCGCGTGAGAAATTTGTGTTTACAGATGTGTATAGATACAATTATGGAAATAAAGCGCTCATACATCTCATAGGATTTCTCATCACATTAATTTCGTGAAAGCATCCACCGATGTAAAACTTTAAACATCCACCTGCCAAGATGTTTTATTAAATTCGTACAGTTGATAGAATGGAATTCAACAGTTGGTTTGTACCACGTATTCTCCCGGATTTTCTAAGGTTTCATCTATGTGTAGCTATGAATCTGTGACTCAAGGACAAGACGAAAGATTTAATAGCCCTCTGTGGTATAAAAAAAATAGCAATCGACGTGTGAGTGTGACTTCATTATAGACGTCAGAAGAGACCCCTTTTTATTTTTAAAGCGGTAGAACATACACCGGGGGGGGTCACAGGCACAGCCGCACGGCGCACAGGGAGGGCACAGGCCAAAAGACTCACAGACCACAGAGGCACAGACCCTCAAACTCACCAGCTCACCACACCACTCCCCGCGAGTTTAATGTCTACGGGAAGACTTGAGAGTTGAGAGTTGAGACTGAAGAGAGTCTGATTAATTTCACTGATGTTTTTTTTATTTCTGTTTTTTTACCAAAAGAGGTTTATAAATAAACGTTCGATTATTTATTTATAGACACGACAAATTTGTTCCAACCTTCGGCAGCACAGCAGCACGTGCGCTCGTTGCCCCAAAAATCGTACACAAAACGGTCGTCCGTCGATTTGGGTCACAGCTGCGTCAAAAATTAAATATAATGAAAACACACTACCTACAAACGAGAAAAAAAATATCACACTACCTACTGTAATCTTTATCTACTAATATTGTAAATTCAGTTCCGAAAGTTGCTTTGGAACATCTCAGGCATCTGGGTGAGCTTTGGCTGACGTCCTGTGTGACCTGTGGTTTGTGTTGCCAACTGATCTTGGCGATTACGACAGTTGCTTGACAGCGAAGGAGGCTGGTGCCTGGTGGTGCCCGTTTGGGGTGGTGACTGTGTGTCCTCACGCGATTGTAGTGGGAAGCGTGTGGCGTTGTGGTGTGTGCACCGGTGCATCTACATCGACATTGGCCGTGTCTTGACTTTCACTCGACCACCCTGTCTTTGTGTAGACTGTAGAGTGTTGTTGCTTTAGACGTGACGATTCGTCTTTACTCTTTGCCTTGGCCCGAACACCAACCTTCTTGATTGCGCAACCCGCAGTGCAAACATTTCGAATCGTTCCATGTCTGTTCAAGCTCTCAATGCAAACACCACACATACATTATGAACGAACTAGAAAGTCACTATCCGTTGGATCAGAATGTCAACGTTGACGAAGTCATGGGGCACGACCATCCCTTACAGTCACATCAGCAGCACGAAGATGATGGGACAGGTCCACATCACCCGGGTGTGGTGGCCCTTTACCAGGAGCATCATCCGCAATACGAGCACGAACTAGGCTATGGGCGCTCGTAAGTACTACTACAACTGCTTGTTTTCTGGTTTTTAAGCGCATCAGCTTGTTGCTAATATGTCTCACAAATCCAGCAATATTGTATCTTTATATTTTGGGCTTGTTATCGATTCAATTGGTATCATCCGAATCTAGTCGCACGCAATCCTGTATGCGTTCTGGCGGATCCGCGTCTCTTTCAAGTGCTGTGGATTATTCTTTGCATGAACGCGGTCACAGACTATTGCTAGTATCTTTATATTCATAATTGTGTGTTTTTGTTATTTGTTAACCATGCTTGTCCAAGTTGTACAGTATTTGTGAGTTTTGGTTTGCGGTCGAGCTGTGTGTCTCTGCTATATATAGTTTGTAGATTGGTGTCGTCTGTTGTCTGGGTCTATCTTATTACGCAAGCAGTTTTCTGGGCGGAGTTAGTAAGTACAAGCCTCTGGCACCTTGTTTTGCCTATTCCTGTCTCACTGGTATACTTGTGCTCGCTGCTATTAAAGTTTAAACTCGCTAGCTACATTTGTGGCTGGCCTACATCTCAAGGTGCAGACCGTTCAATAGACCAGTGTTTGCAGCTGGTGCAAGGAAGGCATTGGTGTAGCAGTATTTTGCACAAACACACTGTTGTGTTTCCGTCTCTCTAAGTAGCTATCGTGTTTACTACACGCTCTTAGAATTGATGTTAGCGACACAGAAACCTTTCATACTCTTTATCAAGATTATCAGCCGTTATGAGGTGTATCCTGAGTGCTTTAAGCTTCTTTAATGCGCTGCTGCTGGTACAACCTCATCTGTCACATTTATACTGCATTCAAATTCAAAGTCACTATTCGTTTCTGTACGCAAACTAAACTTAGACAATGCGGCTCAAGCCAACTCTATACGGAGCCACATATCTCATCACAATCGGTTTTCGCTGACTTCACTTTTCTGCACGCTTTGAACAGTGATCTGGTTCATGACGAGGTCGGTGCCAGTCCGTTGCTTCTCGAAGCACTAGACAATGAGCCCATGCAGTTTAACGGGCAACTGGCGCCACCCCTCAGTGTGTCGTTAGGCGATCAAGGTCAAAACTACATTGCCTCGCAGATGAGTTCGGAACTGGACGGGAACCTGGAGCAGCTCAATGAGGAGATCCACTTCGAGTTCTCGGGGCAGGCGCCGCTGAATCTAGACCATAACCAGGAGTTTGATAGCCACCTGAGTAGCACACTCAACCATCCCTTAGATAGCATGGATGGCGAGTTGGGTGGCGTGGGCCAAGATATGGATGTGCAGCCGATGGACCAGTCACGCCCGCTGTCGAAGGTGCAGGACTTTGGGGCGGACTACCCTCCGCTCAGCGCTGAGGCGGATGGCGATCAACAACACCACCACGCCCAGTACCAAGACGAGTTCAGGCAGCACTCCCAGCAGCAGCACGAGGCTCATGCACACGGGCCAGACCAGGGCTACCAACACAGCCCCCAGACCCAAGACGGCTACAGGCAGGAGCCATCGCAGATGTCTGAGGGATACGACGTGCAGGGCCAGCAGTTGGAGCAGCCGAATTACACTCATGACCCGTACAACCAACACCAGGCACACCAGGCCTACAGGCAGCAGGAAGAGTTTCAGTCGTATAGCCAACTGCAGGACCAGCAACCGTATATGCAAGAGCAGGACCCGCCACCCTATAGTCAGCAACAGGAACCTTATAGTCAGCAACAGGACCAACAGCCCTATAGTCATCAACAGGACCAGCAGTCCTTTAACCAGCAACAGGACCAACAGCCCTATAGTCATCAACAGGACCAACAGCCCTATAATCAGCAACAGGACCAACAGCCCTATAATCAGCAACAGGACCAACAGCCCTATAATCAACAACAGGACCAGCAGTCATACAACCAGCAGCACGATCAAATAACCTATGGCCAAGAACATGAGGAGTATAGGCAGCACGCACAGCAGCTGCCACAGAACCAGCACCAGATACAGCAGGGTATGGGGGATCACCACGCCTCTAAACAAGACTTAGACCAGTACGAACAGCCACACCACCCGCCTTTGATGGCGCATCAGATAGAGCAGGCCACCGAAATGCCTCCATTGACCAGTGACAGCCAACACCGGCCGCTGGGCGAAGAAGATCGAGATCATATGATGTTGCAGGTGGGAGAGCTGAACGAGCAGAATGACCTGCAGCAGTTGCATGCTCAGCAGGTATCGGAGGGTGTCCCACGCGCTGATGACATGAGCATGCAGCTGGACGACCAGGACATGCACTACAAGCATCTCCAAGCACAGGAGCCAAGTTATGACCACCAGGAACCACACCAGCAACCGCATCAGCATCAGCATCAACAACAACAGCAGCAACCAGATGCACCACCGCAACAGCAACAGCAAACACACCAGCAGAGTCACAACGAACAGCACGCGCACGAGGGTGCGGCACAGGGCCACCCGCAGACATATGCGCAAGTGGGACCTCACAAACGCCAACTGCTCAGCACACAAGGGTCGGCTACCAACTCGCCTGCACCTCAGGCGATAGACCTACAGAACCCCACTATGGGCCAGCAGTACCCCCTCACGGGACTACAGGACCCACCGCAGGCGCACGACCCAGCCAACCCCCAGACAACCATCCCCCCACCCCCACAGTCAGACGCACCCGCGCCACCACTGGGCGACATGGACGCACAGACGTTCAGGTCTATGCAGCTAGCACAGGAAACCTACCGACAAGCACTGCTGCTGCAGGACAGTAACAGTGGCGGCGGACAACTCGCGCTGACGGAATACGCACCTGTCGCGTATGTGGACACACAAGCCAATGGGATGGGCGGCAGTCATCAAAAACAGCAGCAGCAACAACAACCACAACAGCAGCCACAACCACAGACAGCCCAGCGATCGTCCCAGGTGTCGCTGGTGCAGCAGCAGTACCCCCACGCTAGTCGAGGCAACTCACACCCAAACGGCGTGCAAGCGAGCCCAGCGCAACCACAGGCGCAGGCACCAAGCAATCACCAGCCATTGACACAGTCGTTTCAAGTGCAGCTGCAGGGGCCTAAGCACCTGGGTGCAGACTCGTCCAGCAGTCACCAGCAATCACAGGCACAGCACCGCCCCCTGCAGCATGCCGAAGCACAGGGCCAGTCCCAAGCTCTGGTACTCTCGCAGCAGAACTCGATGATGCTCACCCAGCAGAACTCGTTACCTACCAAGCTGAAAAAGAAGAGCCGGGGCTATCGCACAGGCGCGGTGGTGTGCTACCAGGACTGGTTGCACGATGCCTCGCCAGATATAACACTGTGTTGTATCAAGTGTGGGGCTGACTGGAGGTTCCTGGAGGGTGTGGTCAAGAAGCAACACAAAGTGAAGATGGCCACCTTAGCCAACGGACAGGTGGTGGTGCGGCAGGAACGACACCGCAAGTGTCTGGCGATGTGCAAGCCGCCCCCTGAGCACAAAAGCATGCAGGATTCACAGCTGCGGCATGCCTTCCAGAAGTGGTCGGATGCCATGGCCACTCACCAGGCGCAAATGTATGTATCACGTACGTGGGAACATTTGCATGTGTGTGTGTCTCACTTACATGAGTATTTGTATGTACCACTTGCATGTTTATATGTATATGGATGTATCACTTGTATATGTGTGTGGAGGTATTGATTGAGAATGTCGGCGAGTGAGTCAGGGGTATGTGTTTTCGTTTGGTTGCCCTACGTCTGGTTTCTCCAGTTTCTATCGGAATCAAGACGTGCCTCACTATCTATCCCCTTTATTTTCATTCGAGAGCGCTCATTCATGCTCGGTTGCATACTTTGGTAGGTGACAGTTATCCGTTAAGGTGTGGTTTTTGCATGTTTAATTCGGGAATTTATACGAAGATTAGTGTGTGGGGGGGGGGGTACTTCTGCGAATTGGATTCACTCACACTGTGAAGTAGCTCCTAACTTTAGAAACCCTTCACTCACCCGTACTGACCCTCTCTTCATCTGTAGGTCCCAGGAACAGAAACACATCACTACGGTCCACGGGCATCAACAACACAAACAGAAAGCAACACCTCAGTCACAGATATCAGCACAGGCCCAGTTGCACCAATCGCAATCGCAGCAAATGCAGCCGCTACACCTTCTCTCGAGCTCGGTCATCAGCCACGTCCAGACACCAATGTCAGTTCAGCCAGTCAACCACCTGGCACAGAACACGCGTGTGCCGTTGCAGCAACAGCAAACGCAACCGCAACCGCAACAACAGGAGCTGAAGCATCACCAGACCCAAACATACACGTTTACGCCAACGTACACACCACCGCAGCCCTATACACTACCACAAATAAGCGCTCAATCACAGGTACAAGCACAAGCACAGCCCGCAATTCAATATCAGCAACCACCGCAGCCCCAATACCAGAATCAACCGGCACAGCTGCAGGCTACTCGATTCCCAAGCCAACCGACTGTTCAAACGAAGGCAAACATGCCAGCAGTGACGCAGACCCCCGGCCCAATCCCACCAGTAACCCAGACGTATGCTACATCCCACACACAGCTCAACCAATCCCAGCAACCACAGGCAACATCGAAGCCACAGAATCAATATTCTGTCAAGAAGCAACAAGCATCGCCACAAATCAGTCGGGTGGTACCTACACCGCAATATCCGCAGGTACACCCTCAATCACAGACGTATGCACAGCCGCTACAACAACAAGCACCCCTACCACCACCGAATCAAGCGCCCACGCTTGTCAATGGGCAGCAACCTTTGTCACATATACTCGACCAAGGCAAGGCAGATCCGAGCTCAAACGCACCGCCCCAAACCCATGTGGTTTTTCCTCAGTCCGAAGTATCTACTCAGCAGAACGTGATTACTCCGTCTGAGCTACACAATACCGTATACACTCAGTCGATGCCATCAGCCACGCATAATGAGCAGATACTGACAGAGAAAGTGCAGGATAATCACATGCCGCAGCATACAGGGACGGCGTCGGTGCAGGAATCCAAAATGGCGAAGGGTGTATCACCGGAATCTTCACAGGCCACAAAACAGCAAGCAACAGTGCCGCTTAGTAAAATAGAGAGTTCTGCGCCTGAAAGACAACAGGAGGCACAGTACCCTATACCACAAGCACCAGCAGCTTCCAACAATATACAGAGTCCGGTCCAGCAGCCAGGGACACATCAGCCAAGTGCTGCACCCCAGGTATTGGGTCTGCGGGCGCAAGCAGTTCCCCATCAAGCAGGGGTCAAAACTCAACGAACACAGACACCCTCCCAGCAAACCCAAGCACCTACACAGCAACCAATAGCACCCACCAAGCAACCAGTACTAGCTGCTCAACAGACACAGGTACCTGCTCAGCACACCCACGCAGCTAACCACTCCGCTAATCAGCAGATACCAACAGCTACTCAACATACACAGCCACTCGCTGTGCAGACCCAAGCGCCCTCCGCGCAAGTCGCTATAGGGACTCCGCCATTGCAACAGCAGGTACAAGCACAGTCTCACGTCCTAGTAGACTCTCCTGTGCAGGTATAGTACGCCTGAGAATGGCCTTGAGTGTGAACAGTGTTGATTGATCACCTTTTCTGGTTTGATGGAAGAATAGTTAGTACCGTAACCTACCGTCTACGCCGTAGTAGAAGTTTATCAACAGCCCGAGTATTGTGCGCACAGCACATGACCTGGGGCCCACTTCGCAGTCTATGGCACCGTAGGAAATGTCTCGCGAATTTAGTTAGCGCCCAATATATTGGTGCAATAAAAAACCTCAGCGGCCTCAGGTCTCTGACGTCTCATTGATAAAGTAGTAAAATAGTTCAAATAAAGTGCTATTTCAAAAGCTAACGCTAAAGGTGTTGCTGAGACTCTTCTCCATTTTGACTGCAAAGCTGGCTAAACCGTCTGTGAAATAGCTGCCCCGAGCTTATATATATATAGGATGAAATCATGACTTGACGGTGAGAAAGAAGAATCCATAATCCGCAATTAAGTTACCAAGTACGGTTACCATACAAATTTATAGTATCGCATTGATGTTCTCATGCCGGTGTCAGAGTTGGCATACATGAGTGAGCACTCGGGTCTTAAGGCATCCAAAATGTCACTTGTGTACATAAATATATACCGATTTCAGCAAACACCCTATGGCACAATTTTATCCGAATCTCGTCTGAAAGGTATTTGGTAAATTTTGAGTTAGGAGACAGGTTTCCCACTCTATATACATGGGTTCTTTTGCATAATAGACCACCAAACAGATGCAACGAACAGAGAATAGCCAATAACGAAGCATACAAGGAAAATTCGTGTAAGTAGCGACTCAATGTAAAAGAAAGGTACTGATCATGTAATTTATGTCTGCATTCCTCATATTTTAAAAATCCAGTTCTCGACTAATTCAGCAATTTCTAGGGCCCTCCCCTTATCTTTGTGTTATGAAGCGACGTCGGCGGAATAGTTAGTAGTTAGAAATGTTTAATACTCTAATTTTATAGTCCGTCCGTCATTCTGCAGCTCAAAAATATCGAGCGCTAGACATTCCGATTAGCTCCCACTTCTCCTTCTATGCCTGTAATCGCTATCTCCGTCCAATGATCCTCCACCGTCCCTTGATTCACGACACTCTTCTACAGTCTGTGTCCTACGTCTATTGGTATCGTAGGCATAATCTCGGCTGCTCCGATCCACTCTGCTTGTGCGACCATTTTCGTTTCTCAGCTCTTCGTTATAGTGACCCTTCGAGTCCTGCACGATTGTTTTGTCTCTCCGCAAGTCTCGACTCCTAGTTTCAGAAAAACCCCTGTAGCCCTCACCACCACGAGACGCCGTTCGGCCAATTCGACTGTCTCTGCTCGGCCTCCTCTCTTTACTTCCTCTGCTCTCGCGCCCATTGCTGTCCTCCCATCTCTCCATGTCTCTAGAACTCCTCTGTCGTTTGGGCGATCGTGTGCACTCAGATTTCTTCCTCACAGGACCTCGGTGGTGCTCCCCATCAATCTCTCCCTCCTCAACTCTCGCTTGTGCTGCATCTTTAGGCAAATGAATAATTGTTCCGTCTGTCGAATTTCGAGTCTCAATTGAATGCCGCGGTGCATTTCTACTGCAATCTTTATCCCGATTTTCAATCGAGGTCCGTTTTGTGCGTTTCCGATCATGGGTGTTATCAGCCACCTCAGTGCCTGGGCGTTTAGTTGAGCGTATCCTGTTCTCAGAGGAGCTCTCTCTGGCTTCACGGCTGCTAGAACCTCCACTGTTTCCTCTCCTAGACGTCTCACGGTTATCCAGAGGACGCGCATCTCTCACCTCAGGGGAAGGTGTGCTGTCACGGCTACTGCACCCTCCTCCGCTACTCCTCGAGTGTCTGTTTCTCGTACCAGGAAGGTGTGTGTCTCGCACTGCGGACAGACTCTTGTTTGAACCCCCAGACGATAACGCTCTGTAGCCTGCGATTGCGGCCTGAGCCTTAAGGTCGATTTCTGAGTCTTCCAGCATTGCGTTGGAAGGTGCAGGGTGTTTTCTAGAGTATTCGGACCAGGGCCGGCCATTTTTCATCAATACACGGTCACGAGCATCGTCCGCTAAATCCTGTTCAGAATGATCATAAGATAAACTGGAGGTGATTGTCTGGCATATAAAAGCTCTTCAGGGTGGGCGAATCTTGTTATGAAATTTAAATGTACTCATTGTAATCAATGACGAAGTGAGTGGCACTTACAATACCGTCTCGTCGAATTCCAAACAACAACTCCGGAGGCAGCAGGTATCTATTCTATTTGAGTATCAAGCCTCCATGTAGTGTCTAGAATTGATCCATGTGTGAACATTCGAGACGGAGTCAGCCTCACAAGAACTATACGAACGGGCAACCCAGCTTTGTATATTGCATACCTTGAATATCGATTTCTCCTTGTCTTTTGAAAGCAGCTCAGCATTGCCGAGCACCCACATGCAATGCTTCGCCCGAGTGAGCGCAACGTTCAGCCGCCGCACGTCTACATGATCATAAGGAGTCGATTATATATGTTCATTAACAAGTGAGCTGTATTTGCGTGTGGGTACATATAGCATATTCCTTGGTAGTGCGTCTACTTCCGCCACTTCTTCCACTTCGCAAAAAGCTTCAAGTACGCCACATATAACTATTTTGAATATGAGGCATTTGAAGGGAGCACGCTCCGATGTTTTTTTCGGCATTGATTTACAGCGATTACGTGTCGAAAGAATTTTAGCAGAGGGCAATACATTCGCATGCAACATAAACTGACCGTTCAGAAATCCGATATTTCCGCTGTGGTTGGCACGCACGCACGAGAAGATGATAATATCCTTTTCCCGGCCCTAAAAAAGTGATCGATTTGTAGGCTAAGCGGTTAGTGGCCAAGCCAGCAAAAAAAGCATTTAAGTAAGAGCGGAAAAGATTTTAATCGTGAGCAGCAATAGATGTCACATTCTCTTAGAAACCGAGTGCTCGCTTATACGCGATTCCTTTGAGAGCACGCGGTCCTGCACACTGAGACAGATACGTGAAAAGCATCTAAATGGGCCTCCCATATACACTCGCCATATCTTCACGATGCGCCAAAACCCAGATATGCAGCACATGCACGAGAGTTGAAACTCTCGCATACCTGGTACGAATCTACAGAGTCAATTTCCACATGACTCAATATAGCTTCACCGCCGAAGAAGTCGCAGAATAGTCTCCTGATGAGATGTTTTTGAGCTGAATACGGCGTCACAATACCCACCCTGCCAGAGAATCCCGTCCCTCTGCAGCTCCTACGTTATGAATTGGGTGGGGTGGAGTGGGAGTGATGAGAATTGCATAATGCGATGAGCGCATTCTTATCCTAAAGTGCTATAGTTGTCAGTGTACACAACATGGGATGATATCAATCAATGCGGTTAAATTGGAACCCACGAGTTTCAGTTATGAGCGCGTAATAGTGCGTGTGCTGATTACAACAGATGCTGTGAAGGTGCTATGTGATGTATATGATCGGGTGGATGGAGGGATGGGTGGTAGACAGGAACAATGAACTGGGTGCTACAACTGCGATCGGAATAGTGCGTAATATGAAAGTGTGTTATTTAGGGCGTCTGTGATGACTGGGGTAGGTAACAGCAAACTATTGCAGATCGCGTAGTTAGAATTGTAGAAAAATCGCTGGAATGTGATAAATGCCTTGCACTTCCAGATTTGCACTCATTCCATTGCGTTTGATAAACTAAACATGTGTTGTCGTCGCTGCTGATATATGAAAATGATTCCTAAGTACCCCAACAAACAAAGAGAGTAAAGATATACACCCACCCCTAGCACAGATACTGGTATTAACGAGAAAATTAATTCAACACGAGTTCACGGACAAAAACGCCCGCACAATATAGCAAGCTACTTTCAGCAACAAAAACGATCTTCCATTTTTGTGATCTCAGTAACCGAACATGCATAAAGCATGACCAACTATACTGACACATAGAAACGATCACTTACATGCAGACCCACACGAAGAGGGCCAGAGTATCATTCGCCTCCTCTTCATTGATATAACTGCCGTGCACATTTTGTTCTATGCCATCCACATTGGCAAACATGTACGGCCCAAACACTTTCTGGTACACCGGCCTCCCGGTGTGCGTAGAGGAGTGGTTTGTTAGCTGCCCTTCATAGAACTGCTTCGATGGAAAGGAGGCGATCTCCGGGTGCATGCGATACTGCACCGTCAGTAGCTCCACGGGACTGTGGCAGGTGATTGAGCATTGGGTTTAGCTCTTACGATATATGAATTATGCATGAACGTATTGATAGAAACGCATTGTTCCATGACGTGAACGACCATTGTTGAGATGCATATTTAATTAGAAGTAGAGGAAGTTCATGCCGACAGGAATTTGAGGTTGTATCTCTGGACACAGTTTGTGTAATGAAGTGTGATCAGCAGGGACTGACATAAGCCACCAGAGAAGAGAACACATCAGTATTCAAATGTTTGTGATACTTACCTGTGCTTATTCTCTGACTGCTGAAGGAAATACACCTGCATCCTTCTGAACATGCTGCGCTCGTATCCTAACTCCCTGCATCGCAATCAAATGACTCATGATTGAGCGGTCGACAACTCCATGGTGTAAGCAGCCTTTGGTAGACCTTGAAACACATGTATGTGTATATCATACTCAAATGTGCAAACAAGACACCAAACCGAAGAACGATACCAACGTGATATGTGAGAAATCGTATATTTCACATAATTATGTGAGCTTCACATACTTGGAGATCTTGGATTGGACTGTGGCTGGCAGCTGATTGGGGTCGCCCACCATGACGCATTTGCGTCCGTTATGCTGCAGTGCAATTAGCACATCCAGTTCTGTAGACTGCGCTGCCTCATCAATGACCGTAAACCTGTGCGCGAGTGTTGATATCATGAGTGTATGAGCGCAAGCAATTGAGCGGACATAGACGTTAAACGATTTCTGAAGGAGCAAAGATGGGGTCGAATAGAGCTATGGTAGTAACGTCAGGGCGTGCACAGGGACATTTTGATTGAACTTCACACGCCAGCATTAAGTATATACATTGTGACCATTTTGGGGTAGATTCAGTAGCACGTTAGTATCGTGATGGACAGTGAAATCACACTTTATACGTTACATCCTGTATGAAAGCAAATAAGCAAACTTCCCAAACAGTGCGAGAGAGGAAATTTCTACCAACAGAATGCAACAATTATATCTTGGCAGAAATCATACCCGATATCGATGTGCGCCCTTACATACGCATCATTCCCGGACCCTATGTCATGCAGTAGAAGAGTGTGTCACGGTTATGTGCGTGTGAAATACTGGCAGAGAAAACGGTGCACAGGACCTAATGGCGGGCGCTGAAAACAAACACCGACAGCGTCCATTGTTTGTAGTTCATGTACGACACTCCAGAACCTTGGGCCCAACTTGGAAAAGAATAGCTCAGGATTATTGTGAAGTTGGAACTTCGCAGATTGATATTTGACACGCAGACAGATGGGATATTAAAGTATAGCGGATACGAGCCACAAGGTACTGTACAAAATTGACACACCACGCACCGTTCAATGTGGTTGCTATGATCTCTGCACCCTCCAGTATGGTAACTTTCTCTTGTTCGCGTAGCCTACCCATATTTCTGTACATTTTCTCCCGCGCTGTCTTCGCTGTTATATATGTGGTTTTCGCGCTGCAATATATGTCAAAAGTCAAAAGCCAAAAGAGTCAAAAGATGAGCGCGTGTCCAGTATATGTGACCTGCCGGAGATTGGCATAGATCAGTCTACAGCTAGCAATTAGAATGCGTGCAATAGCAAACTTCTTGAACAAGAGCATGGTCTGCCATAAATAGAGGCGCTAGAGGTACATAACAAACTACAAGACACATCATATGGTTTTAAGGAGCAATGTACCAGGTTGCGCGAGTACTATGCATCTTGTAGGAGGACTAAGCAGGTACTGGGAAAACCTATACAAGTACACTGAAGTACCCCAAAACTACGACGACAACGTCTACAATGACAATCGAAACAATCCATGCCTTGGCCTTTTCTGACATAGGTATTATACTACACTGCGTAGCTATCAGTTTAAAACTATACACATATCTAATAGTTTCATAATATTGGTCGACTTTGAATAGCCTACAAATTCAATAAAAATAATGGGTATCCAACTTGACACAATGATGACGGAAACCTACATACAAATGCGAGTATTTTCCCTTTTTTTTCAAATCACCTTCCATACCCCACACAAGCGAAACGCAGCGCGATAAATCATGACGCAGACCATAACTCCCTTCTTCCTTGAAGCCAGAAGATAGTTTACTTAAATTGACAGCAACAAGGGCTCACACACCCGATTATGAACCATGCAATGCAGGTACAGTAGACAATAATTGTTTAGAGATCACCCACTTACTCTTGCTGTGCTTTGCTAAGCGCGATCCATTGAGTGTCACTCTGATGACCGGAAGTACTGCATGGAGCACACAAAGTGATAATTTGAGGCACGGCATAAGTTGAAGCAGTAGAAGAAAGACAAAGTTATGAAGGCGTACTTGCTAGAGTACACAAATACTTGCGTGTCCCACGCACGTTTGTACATCTCATAGATTATCTGTTGCACCCCCAGAATCCCGTGCCAAAATTTGAAAAGCATTTACTGAAACCAACGACAGCTAACAAGGTATAAACAACACGAACAACCTCAAGGGTCTGTACATGCGTATGCAATATGCGCATCTTAAATATGATATGGGTGTCATCAGCTCGTTATAACATCCAAATATAGTTCTTTTGAACGGACTTGCCCATTCTCCTTGAGGTAGGAAAGTCGTTCGTTGGTGAGGCGTTTCGCATCACTGTGTAGTTTCCCTTTTTCCTTCTGTAGCTCATTGAGGGCTTCCAACTTCTTTTTCAGCGCGTCGAGCGGTACCTTTGCCTGTGCGGAATATTTTAAAAATGTGTCAATATGCCTATGCAAATATGCATTTCTGAAAATGTGTGCTTGTGTAACAAAGCAGATTAGCGTGAAGGCATGGTGGATTGTGAATTGACCAGCCCCATTTCTTGTTTATCAGACATACCAGTGTATTCCAGGATCTTGACATTACCCGTTCATCCATCTTCCTCTCATCGCCGACTCTCACGATGACTGGATGCTTTATATCTGTACCCATGTCAAGGCCCTGATATGGTTTGGATACCCAGGAATATGCAACTCAGATTGACCTCAATAAGAACAGCAGTTCGTCGATGGCAATTCACGACATATCACACATATATACGCACACTACCGACATGTAACACACATACACGCATGCTCATAAACAACCAAGCGCTCATCCTACCGATTTTATACCCAAACACGTGACACTGAGACACACCCCTATAAATACGCGGAAAACATACCTACCAAGGGATAGAAACATACAAATACTATGTAAATACTCAATTACATAGTCGTACCACATCAAGGATACGCCGGACGACCTCATCCACAGCTGCATTCGATGGCGCACACAGCAGCACACGCGGCTTGTGAGGTAGATACGGCTGTTTGAAAAACGCGGCCAGTAAACCTAGGATGGTGCGCGTTTTGCCTGTGCCCGGAGGTCCCTGCGATAAGGATAGCATGTAGACGTTTGCTCAAGGGATGGAGTGTGGCTTTATATCACTTTGAACATTGCTTGGATGATAGAAACGGAGGCTCACAACACTGAGAAAAACAGATCAATTAAAGAGTATGCCATATATGGCTTTGGTTATGTCTCGCCCACTTCTTGTTGTATCAGATGACTACACCTCGAAACAGCTAACAGGCGCATGGGGTACCCATGGAGCTGGGCACATCTACGTCACATCAGCTATTTGCCCAAACATACACGGAACAACTGTACTAGTGCATATCACTACATACGACAGATACGTGGAGCGACTATTACGTGGATGTGATTACTAGTGTGAGACATGTTCACATATGCGCACGTGCACACGCTAGAACAATTTGTCTACTCACACATTCAAAAAAGCATTTATCTCTCTCTCCCCTCTCTCGCCAATTATATTCATACCTGAATCATAGTAATGCCATCGTATGCAATCGAATTGCGGATGGCTTGTAACTGTGGTCTGTTATACTGCTGGTGGCGGCGGTTGGCGAGATGGCTTGTCGCCTCGTGTGCGATAGCATCCCCTCGAAGAGCCATCGCCGGCAGTTTTGGTTTGATCACACAGTTTATCAAAGGTGAGTTACCTGCAAATATATATACCACCAATATAAAGGTGTCAAACGAAGGCAGCGACATAATTTTACGATGGGTAAAAGAGAGCGCACAAGTTCTAATCAAAGTGCTTGCTGCCTGAGAGGACAGTAATACCTGAGGTGATGAATGAGATATACCTCTGTCCACAAATACGAGAGTTGCATTCACCGGGAAATACCGACAATATAATTCAAACATTATGTTGGCACGTACCACCAAACAAAACACACACTATAAAGCAATAATTGGCTCTGCATAAATTGCCAAAAACGCAGACAAACACATTCAGTGACATATCAGCCCAAGTCCAAGGAGCATCACCGGCGCAAGTACCGCAGTTGACCAGTGCCTGGTATTGCCGGATGATTGGTCTGATGTTCGCCAGTTTGGACACATGATAGTCCTGATTTATCCGGAAGTTTCCGGTCAGGGTGCCCACACGAAACGTCTTCTCCATCTCGGCATCTGTGTGCACCGAGGATTTAAAGGAGTATAGAAAGATATGATATGTTCATGTCCCCATCGGGAGGCGATAGTGGATGAATACGTTTTCAACCCATCGGTCAGGACATACAAATCAATGACAATGTGATATAAACCATTGACCTACTTTGAGTAATATGCTTGTATATGGTATAACGTGCACTGCTGTCGGCAACCCTCGTCATTGACATCATCTATGCAAGCGCTGTCAAATAACGTCGTCTACATGTATATCTTAATACAATTAATATATACAATCGATTCGCCACGACAAAATTACCCTAATGAGCAGCTCACAATGGATGTATCACATTAGAATGTCCAAATTTTGTTGCGTAATTTAAGCTTGCCATTCGCGTAGGTAAACACACGCACAAATATAGGGTACACACTGTAATGCAGTTTGATAACAAGGAACTTGTCTTTGTCGCTTTTCCATCTGGGAGTTTCTTGCACTAATCCAAGAAGGTGTGGAGGCACTCCAGATGTTCGATCTATCTCGGGTGAGGCAGCAGTTCCGCTGTATTTGTTTATGAACAACGGTGTGATGTTAGTGCGTACGAGATCACAAAATATATGAGATAAAAATAGCAGAGCGCACATACACGCTTTAAAAGCAAATTTGGATAACTTACATGCAATGATAGTGGACCATTTATTTAATTTGTAGATGAGGAACAAGAGTGTACAATCAATAGCAGATAAGGGTCAGATACTTTGGCGCTTTGAAAATACCATTGTTGATCGAGTTCGTTCTTGTCACGAACACATTCGATAATGTTGCTACACCTGCCTAAGCGTGTATAAATGTAATAACTGTGAGCCCATGAAACACGTGCTGATGTCCTCTGTTAGTGAGTAGACACACTTGCTACTTTTTTGACTGCCCGTCCCAATATACCGGACTGATCTCAGTCATATACCGGAATGCGAGACAAAAACACTGCACTTGATAAGACTTCCGACAGAAATATACTTAGGGTCTGCAACTATAAAATATTCCAGAAATCAGCATGTGCTGATCCCCACACGCGCATACTCTCCAAAATAAATGGCGTATTTACTTCCCAAAACTTTCACATACTCTGCATTCGTCTTGGGTGGTCTGCTGATTACCACCACATCATCGACCCCATACTCACAGTCGATTATGGCCTGGCTAGGCGCAAAGCGGAGAAGCCAGAACTCGCCGTCTTTTCTGATGTCTGTGAAACAATATAAATTACTTAATTTATTCCTCATACGTTGTGCAAGTTCGCTTTCTGTTCAATAGAGATAAGCAGCAAGAGTACCATGTAAAAATTCCAGAAAAAAAATTGTACGCTGTTTCTATGCACATATCTGGGGCGAATGTTCAATTTTGACCTCAAGGCTATCTTAGAATCGAGACTAGATCCGATAAAATATTATCTATTAGAATACATAAAAAGCTACAAAGGGGAAAGGCCGATCATACCTCCAAGACAGAAGCCATCGTTACCAAATATTCGCTCACTCCCGAAGTCAGATTCATTTCTAAGTGAATCGGCAAACTCGACCTGCAAAGCAACACATTGCGGACACAATTGAAATGTGAGTGACGTAACGGGCGAACCATTGAATCGTCCGATAATTAACTGATTATATTCTGACATGAAATTATTAAATCAATGAGAACTATTTACTGACAGATTGCTAAACGGTGAGTGTACTCGATTGTCTTCTCTAATCGGGATGCAAGAGTTACGCAGATAAGCAGAACCTCAATATCTAAGGGCTTCTTTTATGAGCCCATACGAAACTACAAAACAGGCACATGGAGATTTTTGTGATCGACTTAGTCAATATATTTAGGGTTTTTGGCTAAGGTAAAATATGTATATCTAATAGAATCACTAGCGCTGGCGATGATAAAGGTATATCAAGGGTTACCGCAACACTTCAGTCGATGACCGACTTATATCGAAATGAACATAATACAAATCCAGGGTCACAGCCAGGCGAAATATTCCAATACTCGGGAAGAGCATACACAGCTCGTGGATTATACTTAAAAGAGCCGAGGAAAAGATATGACACCACAATTAAACAAAAACAGAACAGGAAACGATACTTCAATTTTCAAATACGCTTACGATTAGAAATGGAGTGAAGATCCTCCTGTAGTGCGCGTAGTCGTCGAAGGCCAAAGGGATAACATCCTTCGGCTTGTCGTCTTTGACTACCAACTGAGTCAAACTGTCGTCCTTGTCTGCCTTCCGCAAATGCCACATCAGCACTGTATGTCAAGGCAGCAGTACTATCGGGTGAGATCTTTAGTACGCTGCTATACACCAGCTATAACTATGGTATAAACATAGCTATAACTATGGTATATGTGTAGCTATCACTATATTATATACTTAGCTATAACTATAGTATATACATAGCTGTAACTGTGGTATATACTTAACTATAAATGTGATATACACATAGCCATAACTATGATGTATACATAGCTATAACTATGGTATATACATAGCTATCACTATGGTATATTGATCATCCTCTTTTGCTTTCCGCAGGTGCCACATCAGTACTGAATATAGGTAGAAACAAACTCCGCTGGAGCACAGTAGTTCAACATCCTACCAAGATTGGTATTCATACTTAACGGTTGTTATTACAAGGGCTATCTCCCATACTTTGCGTAAAATTCACGCAATCCACAATAAGATCAAACCAACGAAACACCAACACGCGGTATCACCCACGTCTCACCTTGTTTGAAAAGATCAACAATGACCAACGTAGATTCAGGTTTAGTAACCATCGCTGGCCTCTCTTTCTGAACGAATTTGGGCGTTGAAGGCAGCTCAACCACAGTAACCTTTGCACCTTTTCGACTCCAAGTCGCAAGAGCTTTGGCTAATCTGTCCTCCTGGGGTTTACCGGAGAAACTGCCCCCGAATGATCCCAACTATAGCAGAGAATGCAACGCTTAAAAGTGAGCGGGCATCAAGTGTCTATAAAAAAATCTTGTGAATACATCTAGTGCACAAACTCAATAAACTAACTTTCAAGCTCAAATGCAAAGCGTTCTACGCCATACGACACCCATATATCGTAAGGCCACACTCCAAACCTTTGTAGGAGCCCCTTTAGAGAATGTAAGATCAGGGATTGTAGGGGGTGTTGGAGCGGTGACAGTTGGTTGCTTGAGCCCTTGCTCCTTCAGTCGGGCAGAGGCTGAGGTCGCTTTGGGCATTTTATTACTGTATTAAGCGATGATTTTTCAAGTCAATCCATTACTGTTTCAAGTGATAATTCGTACAGGTCAAGCAAAGGGCCAGGATCCGTGAGGAAATCGTGTCGTACATTACACTGAAATGAATCACCCAGAATCTCGAATACTGTCCAACGAGCAGACAAGAACATAGCAACGCGTCAAACCGTTGTTGGCAACGAAACACCGCTAGTTTATACATACAAAACCAGTGTGCACAATTCATATTCACACTTTCTCGTTCGAATCACTTACTCTTCCGATTCTCCGAAGTCCGCGAATCTCGAAAGCAGAGAGGGCTGGGCATGTTTGGTAGACCGCCTGGCAGCTGCTTGAAACCCAGAAGTTCCGAACATCCTGTGCACAGGTAGCAGAACAGATGAGACTCTCAGCTGACTTTTCAAGAATTGATTTATCAGACGTGTGTCCAACAACAGGCTGAGATGCAGATTAAAGCATTCAATGCCAATCAATTCCAAAACAATTCATGTGTTAAGTACATATATATGATTTGTTGGCTCACCTGTGCGAGCCCAGGGCATCCCTAGCGTTAGTGGTTCCGAGTGCGCTGTTTTTGTTTTTGGCATTGGACTTTTTTCTTAGCACGTCTAAAAAGTTTTTGTTTTTCTTCTTAGCAGGCGCCTTTCTAGTTGCCGTCGACCCGTTACTTGTTTTGTACACATCATATTTACCTGCGCGTGTTCAAACGACGCGTTAGTTTGTTTATTGATATCGAACTGGTGCATTTGGGTTGGGCACTCGACGGAAACATGTGTTTATTCAACCTCAGAATGAATCAACGTGTATTTATTTTGAGTCTCATAGACGCTTGTGTGCATAAAACCAACAAATAAAATGTCGAGTGTGCCCTCACGGTGACCTACATATGTGCACCATTCAGCTGACACAAGATGCTGCGCCAATGGCAACGCTATCTGCTAGACCATAAACATTTTTGCGATGGTCAACATTATATACCTGGCATATTGGTAGCAACCTTCTCTCACATGTCGGTTATACAAACAATTGTACTAGATAATCACAGCAGCTAGGAGCACTTGACGTACACCGGTAACTTGGCGGGAAAACATGTGTAGTGAATACATTTACCTTCATTACTACCATTCAACCTTGTCTTGCCTCAATACTATTGCATGCCCGTATTAGTACCCTTTTCTAGACTTGTGCTTTTGCTTGCAGCTTGGCAAATTTCTAGAATGTCGTGGATCGGGTTGCGCCCAAAAAGTGCACTGAATATGTATAACTGACTTTCTTACTATATATTTTTTATACTCTCAAACACACCCACATAAACATATAGTGTCATATTTGTCTGCATAGAAACACATACTGATTTTTTTGGTCTTTAGTATTTTAGGTAATGTGATTGGAGCTGGCAGTGGGGCCACATCACTCGCTGAGGTGGTTGTAGGTGACGACGAACCAGACCGTACAGTATAGGCCTTGGCACGTTGTCGCGTACCTGCGTCACACACAGTGAGTTCAAGTTACAGCATGAGTGGATGTGCGCCTGAGTTAAAAACATGCCGGTACGAGAATGTAAGCCCCCCTGGGGATCTAAGGATATACAAAAGAAAACACGCGCATGGATGTACCGCATTGCAGCAGACTCACAAGATCGAATTCGTTTCCAGCATGTAGGAAAGGCTTGTACCAGACCGTGTCGTAGAAATTGTACCATGTTATAATTGAAATTGATGCTTACAGAAGTATTCTATCATTTATTCAGGCGGTTTATGCATGCTGTCGTCAACAAACAGGTCTATGATGACGAAAACTTCCTATAAAGAATTACGAGACCAAATTGTCCCATAAATATGATTACCAAGGAAGACACGCACGAGTTCTGCTCGCCGATTTAAGATTGATCCCATGATAAGATTAAGTCGTTTTGGAAAACGTCCAGATGTAGGGCCGCGTACGTGTACGCATGTGTCTTCAACCATACTCCAAAATATCATAAAAATCTCACGGACTAACAAACAATTTAGCATCTGAAAACACGCGCCATGCAACAGGTACGACACAATACAACCACCAGGATCACACACCAGATTCCCACGGGTCTGCATCTGTTTCTCCTTCCTCTTCCTCTTCCTCCTCTTCCTCCTCTTCGTCGTCATCCATCTTGATCAGCTGCGCTTTGACCTTCCTTTGCAGATTGAGCATCTGTCACCGAAATGAAATATACGGCAACATGTTTAAGTTTGATCAATATTGTAGCTATTCACGACACTGCCGGTTAATTCGTTTAGTGTAGTCAAAACAGAACATAACAAGCCATATATGATTACAGCTGGCTATGATACAGTAGCTTGTTCATTTCAACTTATATGCGCACACTTAGTGGAAAAAGACTGTGTTCTCACAGACGCTCATACCTACACAATTCAGTACATGCATAACATAAACATCAATCGCAACCATGGCAACTATATGCAAGAGAGTCTTGAAAAACCGATTTTCACTTACATCTAATTGGTTGCACAAGGCGGAGCGAATGGATATGCTCATATTTACATCCTGAGATGTAAATATACCTGGATACAAGTACAAGAAAGTACTCTAATGCTGAACGTATCACGATCAGGATGTTACATCAAAATATTAATTTGAAAACAATTGAGGAAAACCCCGTTTACTTCACTTACGCAAACCTACACAACACGAAGTACGCTCACAACGTCCTGTTCAGGGGTGTATGAAGCCATACACATGTAGGAAGACCGACTCGATGATCAGTAGCGCAGATTACTTTATAATAAAGACTCTCTCCCACACAAGAATGCTTCACCGTGTAAGAAACTCATGTTTGTGCCCAACTTGCTTACATCGTCATCAAAATGATAGTCCAGCGTATTCAGTGTGTCGTACGTGCGGAATATCATGCCGAGTACTGACCGCCTCACGCTGTCATCTGTGATCATACCAAGTTCTCTGGAGGAAATGACGCTAAATTATTGAGACGACATTCGGCTGAGGCCAACTTTTTGCGATACATAGCAATGGAATGACTGATATCTAGCTCTCATTCTATCCAGAACGCGAGAACATCTCGAAACACAGCCAGTTCACATATCTCGAGTAAAGTTTTAGTACGTCTCTCGATAAAGTACGGTATCGCGCCACGGTCCCGAGAAAATAAAACTACCAATTTTCTAGCTAAAGGCACGAGACTTACGCGATTATGTGGGGCATCCAAAGCGCATGCTGGTCCAAGTAAACTTTGGAGGCACCGTTAAAGAAGAATGTCTGGATGTAGCCGTGTACGCTGCAGTAGCCAGAATAGTGCCAGAGTTGTCAATATTGCGGATGGTAAGGGAAAGATACAAAGGGAGGCATTGATGACAATTAGGTAGAGTATTCCATCGCAAGTATAGTCTAAAGAGAGGAGATTATCAGCCGTCAAGGAGTCACCTGTTTCAATGGCCGCTCAGCACTAACACTCGGCCTCTTGCTCACGCACATAGACAATCCGACTCTGAGCCTACTTATATGGAAAACACTTAAACCCACACACAAAATGTAATTCACCATCTGCATAGATATGTGCACGAACACAGTGCTACACTAAAGGGATGTTGAGATACTGGTACATACGTACGTGTGCGCAGACACCAGCAACAGGGCTCAGACATACTCGAGATAGCTGAATACTTCACTGAAGCGAACAAAGCACTTCACAGCCAACGCTCGGATCTCTTTCGAGCCCCAGCAGAAATGTACTAAGATTGCATCCAACACGCTCTGCGTGTTGTATCCGCTGTTATTCTCGTCAATATTGCCAGTAGATCCCGTAAAGAGCTGGATATATGCATAAGATACCCGCGTTTAGACAAAAAAGTTGCGTTCGTGAGCTCAATTCAATATATATACATCTATCTAATGAGCAATTGTATCACAAGCGACATAAATGAGACTTATCAACCGGTAGCTTAAAAATACTGGCGACGAAATTCATCAAGTAAACATCAAAGTAGGTACTCGTATATAACTTTACAACTAAATGGATGCAACACAATACAAAGAATGTTTATAAAAAAAACTAAGCTACAGATCACAGTATATTCTTAACGTAAACAATTTCATTCTCACACTTGTGTAAACCACTACATGCACATATACCCATAGCAAAATGAAAAAGTACCAACTTGCAAATTTGATTGTGTGCACACACCTGTTTCATGCAGTCCCGATCAGTTTCGTCTGAGATTTTTGTCAGAACGGACTGAAGAGTTTTAGCTGTGCAGCCGAGGAGTCACGACGATTATTCATGAGGGAGCGAACAACTTATGTGGACATCGTTGTCAGGGTTTAGGGTTTTTCCTATCGAATATATTGGCTTCCAAAAAACAGTACAAACATCGTTGGTTCAAAATTCGAGAAAGGAATCACGCACAGTAGTAGAAACGATGCCACGGTGTAGGTTATACAACACATATACTTCTCACATACTGAAACAGTCGAGGGCTCGCTGTGCTCTTTGGTTGGGTGTGCTCTGATTGCGATCTACATTAGTCAGTTGCCCCCTGATAAAGATTCAAACCATAAACAACAAGTCACTCAAGAGTATTGTCGAAAGACTCGGTTGTATACCGCATGGATAACAATGCAATGTTCATATGTACTGCTTGCCAAAAAACTTCTTGTTTTCCTGAGGCAAATAGACTTGCACAAAGGGACATTACTATATAGAATTTATGTACAAAATTGATTGCATTTCGCACACGAGCGTAGCTGTTTTTGTGTATAAGTTACCTAATATTTTCATTATCCTATGACTAGTCATTTACTGACAGACAACCATTTAATGATACAGAGACTGAGATTAATCTTCGAACAGATCAAATAAAATGAATGCAAGATTAAAAATATAAATTATAGTTTATACTCCGCGAGTGTGCTTGGCTCTGTCCTGAATACGCGTACAGCGTTCCTGGTATGTCTTGCAAGTACGCAACTGACAATACATGCAAATATAACATACATATCACACAAAGCATTACCGACATACCTAGATAGTGAGATGAGTATATATAGCATCACATCAGTCGGCAGATCCTCAAGCTGCAATGGATATGACATACATGAATGGGCAGACGAAAAAAAGCTCATGAATCACATACTTGGAAATTTATACATATGTATGAGTAAAATTTGTGAGAATATTGTAAAAACCGAGGTTTTGAGTGGTTCTTAAATATCCCTCATAGCCCTGCGATTGGGTATGGCTAGGTGATTGCAGGCGAGAGATACAGATATATGCGAGAAGAACAACCAAACAGCTTCACCACGCTTCTTGTACTTCATCGGTAATGAACGCACCTTTGATTCGGCTATAACAGACCAAAGTTTGCTACACACAACGTATCGGTCTTGGATGTCATTAGCAATGTAGTTCTCCATATCTTTCTCGAGAACATACAGCAGCACCGTCACACACTTGCGCCAGTACTGCTGAGACACCGTGTCTTTTTCCAGCCCTATAGTGATAAATCATATATGTCCTGGGAGTGAGCTCTCAAATCAAAGTGTGCTTTGTTCTTGCGTGTAAACGGAGTTGAACTTTTCCGGTGTAGGCAGAGATATTCACATCCAAAGGCAAGAACGACTCAGAGGATATAACTCGGCACCATTTATGTACAATTTCTGTGTTGACTATGTGTGGCTTTCTTATGTCAAAGGCTAGATATAAATGCACACGATCCAGCTACGCTAGAGATATAAGCAGTATAATCAAGCCCGATGCGAGAACCACTGGTCAACAGCTCACCTTCTTTTGACTGCGCGTTGTGCTGCTGCATGCCATGTACCATGCGAGCCACCCATATATCCGCAGCCGACAATATAAAATTCTGCTTATTGTCTGTGTAGAACACCTCCACTATACTGATCACCAGTTCGTTCATAAGCACTCGTACGTCGTCAGGGTACGTGGAATCGCTGTTCAATAGCACGAGCCTATTGAAAAGCTTGCCGGTTGCTGGCTGTGTAAGGAATTAGCTTTCAGAATTGAGACAAGACTTGCAACGATTCAAAAGAGTACAATTGGAAAAATGACTGGCAAATATAAGTTGTGATAATCAGCACAAGCCATATTGTCAGCAGATCTTGTCGCCAATGATAGATTTTCGAATCGAACGAACATATTCATATACTATGCATTAACACATCGTATTTTATCGATAGTTGTCTAGAATAATACATTCCCCGATAAATGTTGTAGAGCACCATCACATGCATAAATAATTTTATATACGCAAATTCCTCGAATTCAAGTATACCATTCTGTGTCACACAATATGAGAAGCCAACCACAATATACAACCATGCGATGAGAATTGTATATTGTATGTCTCAACTTCTACTTGCATATACTCGCAGCGTAGAATGAAAGCAATATCTAGGTACGAGAATTCTGTACAGACCATGCATATGTGATAGTTTCTATCGTCAAACCATCGTTTCATATGTACACGAGTAGTATTGAGCGAGTAGTGACCAATACCTGAGACCGTGTATATAAAACTACACTCGAAACCTGCAGCTCAACTACGAAGGCTTGCCTAACGAACGAAAGTTACGTGGATGCAGCATCATACTCCAAATTGTCAGAAGACCGACAATAGAAGATGCCTCAACCGCATCCCTGTCTTACCGATATGCGGGCCATGAGCTCCACGAATTCCTGGCACACATTCTGGAGATAAGTACAGTACATGTGCGCATGCTGTGGCGTCCAGCCCAGTACAACGTCGAATTTTGCGCGCTCATGACTATCGGGTGTGAGACATCTGCCGGTTATTTACCAGTGAAGCCGTATTCCAATTAGGCTCCACACAATCGATTCATATATATATATATATATATATATATATATAACTCGCCACGCACTGAGTACACGCACTGAGTACACACACAAAGAAAGCAAGAAACACATGACGTGTTTCTCACAAATCTATAGTGTGTGCTGTAATAAGAACTTCGAGCCAGAATGCCCAACAAAGTAGTATATTTTTGTACAACAAGGACCCACACATAATAAAAGTCAATACAATATCATTGTATTAGCAATGTAACATACTGATATCTTGTTACTGAACTGTTTGAGCCATTGGCAGTACCACAAACACATGGGAACCATCCACTTGATTACAAGCATCGGAGGACTCCTTCGCGCCAAAACAATCCATGTTTGGTAACATCCGTTTTCACCATAATCGTACGTTCCACAATCACACAGTGATATTTCCAAATCGTGGTGGGGTGTCCGATCCAGTATGATTGGGTTCAAAAAGGTGTTTGTTTTGTGAGAAGTATGTTTTCCTAGTTTACATGACTATAAAGGAGCCGTTCGCGGTGTATTGTGGGTTGAGAGTGAGGTGCTAGATTTCACGTAAAATATCTATATGAATGGGTTCTATTATATAAAACTAAAATCTGTTTGATGCACACGAATGATGTCAGAGACAAAACAAAGCAAAAAACAATGATGTAGAGTACACTGCCCTAGGAGCGGAAATGTCATACGAAACGTGATAAAATTGAATACAACTATAGTACAGTAGCAACAATTAATGCACAAGGGATGCAATAGTGACACAGACAACGAAACTCATGATTGATATCGCCAACAATTACAACCCCTGCATCGGGTCACAACAATACAGAAAAATGACACACAGAGCGAGCAACGAAGTAAAACAGTTAAATTGCACATGAGAAAAATGTCGTTGTGACGTCCATTGTCAAACGATGACAACATTGTTCAAGGTAAGCCCACATACACCGAGAGTTCCACGAGCACCTCGTGAACATACTAACGTGAAATAACGGACGTATTCCCTAACCTGATCAGAATTTAGTATACAACAAGACACAAATATATTCCCAACACTTGACAGTAAAAATCAAACAGTTTATGTGGAATCACAGCTGCATACAATCACCTAGGGTTGCACGCGGGCTAATATCAGACCAAAACATTGCTCAAGCACTTGCTTACCCTCTTGTGCCCAGCGTTTTAAGCAGCTGCAGGTACGAACTATTCTGGAAGAGGCCGTCCAGAATGTCTCCAAGGGCAAGCGTAGAGTAGTACCAAACCTTGTGCTGCAGAAGATTGGTCAGTATGTGGAAGCAGTTGATCACCTGCACACACACGTGACAGAGAGTAAGTAAAGTGTATAATCAGGGTATTGAAAATTCATTGCACCCAATAGTTTGTTATTATAGTCGAGGTAACGTTGTTCGGACTGGCTTTAGTGGTTTGACTATGGAAGCTACGGAGTCGTACAGAAACAGATTCCCATCATAACTTAATCGGGCATAGAATTCAATTGAAACCACAAATCAAATGGTTTAAATACAAACTGAGTATAGATAAAACACATTCTGGACATAGTCATATACCTCGAGCAAGTACCCACAGTCCACAGCCAATTGCGAGATAATGTGGTCTACGAGTTCATGGGCGATGGAATCAAAGGCTCGGCATTGGGCAACGCCTTCATCAAATCCTTTCAACACCCTATGCATGGAGAGAAGGAATGGGTCACTTGCGGTGCTCAGCCCATAATATTTTTAAGCAAAAGAAACCTATTCTGTTATTTGGCAGGTGCCAATACTTGTCATATAATATAATGTCCGCATCAAATGTCAGGCCTGATCTAGGATAAAATCGTAGAAACGCTGGATGCACAATTGGATATCCACACCACTCATAGTTAACGATAGCAGGGACAGGTTGTGCTATGCTGAAACCTACATACTCTCTCAAGCCGCAGAAAAAGCGTCTGTTGTTTCGCCGGCGGTCATCGGTTTCAGGTTTCACACGGTTGTCATTGATCGCCTGGAGTTTTCCCTGTTGTACCACGTTAATGTCACAAGTTCTTGTTACATATACTATGTATTGGAATATGCTGTCACAACGGTTCTGCATAACGTTATCATGGTAGCGCCTGCAATGAGCAAAATACCACTGAGCACACAACAACGCACTGGACATTAACAGCGTACCAGATACACGCGTGAGAATACAGGCTCGAACGTCTCGAATTCCTCGGCTGTCATCTTGGATATTCGATACTGACTTCCCGCCTGCATTGGATTAAATCGATCAAATTTGAGTCGAAAACATCGATTAGAAGGATTTAATGCTGACACGTCTTGATACATGATAGCCTGAACAAGGATGATATCAGGTATCAGTTGAAGCGTTTGCTGGTAAAATCACCGTCACTATTTACTGCGAAAAGTCATCTACCCAGTGCTATCAGTGATACTTCAAAACCAATAGCTTCTCTTGTGGTGGCAATAATTGTGATACCGAATAAGATGTTTATTGATGCCACTTCACTGCGCAGCATTAGTTGGTAGCGGCGTAGTTAAAGCAATCAAATAAATTACACGCGGCAAGCCGTTGACAAACGATGCTATACACAAAATTCTATCAAGAGTGCGTATATGCCACAGTAGAATATGTTGACACATACCCAGTTCCTGACGATGTCATTCTGGTGGATGAGCAGTATCCCTTTTCCAACTATATAACCGGGCACATACAGCGTCACATTCTGCTCTTCGTACACTTGGATCATCTGTGTCAGATTTCGAGTATTTGTCTGTCACTTTATACATACATTGAGGTGCATGGGTATATGCACGAGAGAAGTCGACTTCGAAAGCACGTCAGAATTTGAAATCTAAACACGGAACAGCTCACGAGAACAACAGGATATCTGCGAATAGAATCACGCAGTGCACAGTCACAGTCTCTGAACGATTCAACATGTGGATGCCGGAAGACTATGTCATTGGTGTGTCCATTGAACGTGGCAGCTGCACGTATGCGTGTCACATAGTACCACCCAAGTGGGACAGTATAACTGTACACATGTACACAATACTACACACATAAATACTGGCATATGTACAATGCGGTGTCTTCCGTGTAGGGCACAGTGTTGGACGCAATGTAAGTTTGTATCAGTGAAAGTGACAAGTCAATCACATAGATGCACGCTAAAACACATCTCTATACTGATATACTATTCGAACATACCGCAGCGAAAGAATCGTTAAGGAGATCGGAGGTATCTAGTAGCTCGGGATGGGCCAGCACTTCGTAAATGGGTACCCATTTACTGGTTTCTTTTACTCTGACGTACTGCGGGGTATGAGTACGCAGCCGTAACATCAGATACATTTATCATATAGAACATCGTTTAAGTAAATGTATATATTTGGATTTATCACTACAAGCGCAATTGGGTCATTAAACTTGCTATTACAAGTACATTTGCAATTTTAAATTTATTTCGGTATACTGATAGGTTGGCAATGGGACCTCGTAACGGAGAGACACACACGGTGAAATGTAATATTATCACATACAACTATGTATATGCTTCTATATCTCATCAATCACATATGACAGCAAATCTTATATGATTGCCGTGCAGAGTGCATAAATGCCTATTCGCGATCTATCAGACATGTTCTATTGGTGATTGAAAAATTGGGCATCTCAAGATTGAATAATATTAACTCGGGCTTCCCACGAAACTATACGAGCGTAGCAGATCCAGCATAATTATTAGTAAATCAGTGGGCTAAGCGCATCCAAGAGTCTCCATTTGCATCTAAACCACATGCTTACCTCGTTGAAAGCACTACACAGCCGAGTGGTGTCCATCTGGTCGTATGTGTTCTTGAAGGAGATCGATGCGAGATTTTCAGATTTCCGGAATTCGTTGTACCAGAACTCCTTGACGTTGGTTGCAAGTGTAGCAAAGTATTGGCATGAATGAAATCAGATAGTGTCGAATTCGAATATTGGAAGGCAACATAAATCCCACTTATTCATTTTCAGTGTCGTATGTACCAGTAGAATATCGAAATTCATATCATAAACGGAGGCGATCTAACAAGCTCCCTATTCTATCTAATTGCTATAAAGTTTGTCGCCACTAATAATATACTGATTGCCAAATTGCCAATATACGATACCGTGAACAATCTGCTATTTGCTTCCTCTATGTTTTAATCCACAAACAGGTACGTGGTGTATATACAATAATCTTACGTTATTAATATATCCATACGCAAATTTGGCTCAAACTGAATGTATGTAAAAGGTTTTCAATGCATTCCTACAATCACATTCAAAACATAGCCAACGCTCAACAATTTAACTGTAGCTGCATAGTTTAAAAGAATACTACACTTGTACGCCAATCATGGCATAAAATACGACATGTATGTATGTATGTATGTATGTATGTGTGTGTGTGTCTGTGTGTGTGTATGTATGCATATATGTATGTTTGTATGTATGTATGTATATATGTATGTTTGTACGTATATATGTATGTAGGTATGTATGTATGTATGTATGTATGTACGTATATATGTACGTATGTATGTATGTATACATGTATGTATGTATGCGTGTTAGTATGTATGTATGTATCTATGTATCTATGTATCTATGTATCTATGTAGCTATGTATCTATTTACGTATATATACATGTATATATGTATGTATGTATGTAAGTATGTATGTATGTATATATGTATATATGTATCTATGTATGTATCTATGTATGTTTGTATGTATGTATGTATGTATGTATGTATGTATGTATGTACGTACGCATGTATGTATGTATGTATGTATGTATATGAGCATACCTACATCCAACACTATTGAATATACTAATATCGTGGATACATAGTATGAGCGCACAACTTACCTTGGAGTCATGGTATTCATCGCAGCAAGCCCTGCACACCGTGACGTCATTCTGCCAGATCTCTCCGAAAGTGTCCAAAAGTGTCGTGTTCTGTAGTGGCACGCATCTGTGGGCGAGGAGTAGTTGGTGCATCATCTACATCCAAGCCAAACAACATGCAGCAGCATTAGCACCCAGTGATTCGAAAAATTATGGCGGGGGATGAGAACAGAGGAATTGGCCTGAACTTCCACAAAACTGCCCTTAAATTTGCCAAGTTATTCTTCTATATCTCATACTGTACTAGGTATTAGTTCGGATTGCTTTTTCGTACTATAGCCCAATTCGAAAGTTACGCATCTACACATTCCGTGGAAATATGCACAACCTTGAAACCGGGCCAATGCAGCAACTGAATGCTTACTACACTTGCGATCATGACATGTAGAAGCATTGGGAGTTGAGTAAACCACTCCAGTGAACAGAATTTTTGATAGATCTAAATATGTCGTCGGTAGTATAGGACATGGATATAAAATATATGTGTGCTCGGCTACATGAAATAATGTTATACAAATATCATGATGTCGTATAACCATGTTATTTACCTCTGGTTGTGTGTGCCAGAGATGGTAGTCCTTGTCACCGCTAGTTCCGGGAGTTCCCCCCAAACCGCGCACATATTGCAACGCCTGCGTAAGGAATGTATCCCTCTTCGACCGGTCCCGGAACAAGGACCTGTAAAAGCGTTAATGACCATTCGGATTTAGGTTGTAAGTCTACATGTATGTGAATATTCACACAGCACCTCGATCAAATACAAATACGCACTATTCCCATAGCACCTCAATGTAATACAAATACGCAGCATTCACACAGCACCGCAAACAAAATGGGAGTTAACAATTGTCGAAAAGTGTCCCATACTCTGGAGGTATGACAACCAGCTCTTGAAAATAACAAATATTAAATGGCGCATTCTACATACCATATATGAGGGGGCAACAACGAGTTGGGCTGTTGTGGTATGTCATAATCAATGGCATCGAACTCGTCTTCCTGAAACACAAAATCGGCCAGATCACTATCCTCAGCACTAAATTCCGCAGCATCTTCCTGTAAGGAGTCCTCGACCCCCGACGATATCACAATGTAATCAACAGTCATAATTTTCGGACTGATTCGTTGTCAAAATATGCATTCTAGGCTTAACGGCCATCTTGCATTTGCGCACTGTGGTTGAGGTATGATATCTATCTTAGCGGTGTGACACCTATGATGTTGTTTCCGCTCGTCGATTTTTATGTATTATGCAATCATTCTAACAAAGCTAAACACATATATTCGCCCATACACTAACGTTAATAAGTGGCACGTAATGAATACTAAATACATATCCCACACGAAAGCAGAAACGAAAGTTACGAAACCCAGGCCACAAACCATAGCCTTTTCAAAAAATAATACCCCCAAACCCACAATCAATATCACCCAAAAGCCCGCCAAAATTGCCGTAGTTGTCATCAATTATATCCACAGGTGCCGGATCAGTGTTTTTTATTTTATTAATTTAGGTTTTTTTTTCTTCCTAAAAACCTCTATATCCCTTTTGGCGGTCTCGAGACTCGACTCTCGAATCTCGACTCTTCGTTAAATATTACTATAGTTTTGTTTATTTTTATTATATAAAAAAACAAAATTAATTTAAAAAAATCAAAAACAAACCAAAATCAAAATAGGGTGGCTGGTCACTGGTGGCAAGCTCGTATTAAACGTTATGGGGGTACGGGATAGACGTATAACGTAAACGCATATTTATTTTTTAATATTAAAACGTTATAACGGTTGTAATGTGATCAGAAGGGCCTACCTAAGTTCTTTTATAGGTCTTGTTCGTATCGTTAACATGGTACACACTTAAATGTTTAGACCCGCAAGTTGCACCTATGAGCATACAAAGGACTGCAATCGAAATATAAGTTGAACGTAAACGTATCTTTATTCGATTTATAAAAGTTTTAACGGAACCCTGTTTGAGGTTAGCGGCACAGTCACAGACTCACAGAAGTCAGAAGACAATATATACTGATGAGGACCCTGTTCGAGTATGGGCTGAACGCTGTTGTAAGCTACAGTCCAACACCAAAGACCAAAAACCCTAAAACATCACTTCTATTTTCACCAGAGGTCTCTCTCAAACTAATCAAGACCAAGACGCCGATACTTGGTCACTATTGATGCAGCTACAACATACACTCTCACAATATGCGGACATCTGGACAAGTGTTGTAAATCATAATCGGATCAGAAGATGGCCATCACTCCATCTTGGTACGTACATGCCATGCTGTTTAAAGTTAGGAATGTATGTCTGTGGATACATCTTAACCACTTCGGGTCGCGTATTTGATGGTAAAATTGCTTCTGCATCAGCCTTATTTTTGTGTAAGCGTTTGCGAAACTTCCTATTAAAGCCTTTAGCCCATCCTGATCATCAAATGCTGATGGTGGAAGATCATAGTGCGCTCCATCTCGTCCGTAGTTTAATATGTCATACCCTTAAACTTGTAAGACATAGGAGGTGTAGTAGCTTTGCGTGTGCGACGAAGGATGATCTCTGTCGTAGGAATTCAATGTGACCCGATATTTAAGGCAGTATAGCCGTCAACGCTGTTAACTTCATACGTTCCGCTCTTCTTGTCCGCCACGGAGATCATAAATGATCCAATATGTTTAGCCGTAAGCACAGTTTTATCGGAGTTGCGAGCCAATGTTTTCACTAAATCGCATACCTCAAACTCAACTATTTTCTTGGTATCATTCCATCGCTTTTGTCTCTTCTTGAGAGCAATGTCCTTCATCTCTCTTAAGCAAGGATAGACCACATTTCTGGTCCGACGCATCTTCTCTAACCATGGTAACACATGATCATCTTGAGACTCCTTGTTGAAGAGGATATGTAATTCACTATAACGGTCCCGGAAGTAGTAAGCGGGTAATGTACCAATGACTGAATCAGGGGATTCGTTCATCTGTGTCTGTACCTCAATGTTTTTAGTGCTTCTCGCATGAACTCCTTCATCTTTCTGTGTCGTACCTCGTTCGCACCTTGTGTCTGAGGCTTTTAAGGTACCCCCATCTTATGGCATGATCCCGCAATGAGTAACAGCGTCGTCATGACATCTCCTGTAAACTCACTACCGTTGTCGGAACATAAAATAGCTGGCCAGCCGAAATCTGCGAAGTACTTATATATGCACTCATCCACAGTTTGTGTCGATTTATCTTTCAGCGGATACAATACATTATATCTTGATGCGACATCAAACACGTGATATACATATTTATCCTTCGAGTGTCCGGACGTGGGTAGCTCAACCAAATCAATGATAACTCGGCGCCACGGCTCGTCTTCTGATACGCTGCGTAAAGGTGCGTATCCGTAGCGCTTGATCCGGTTAACTTCGCAGTTGTTACTTTTGTGATACACCTGAGATATATATTGCTTGAGGTTCAGCTGTACGATTCCGTGCCTCTTACAATCTTTCTCAGTTCTAACCTTATACATGTGCTTAAGAGCATGATTTTGTCTTAACCACTTCAGAATCGCCTCCTGTGATTTACTTGTTACATTGAAATCAGGAGGTGAGGATTCCACCGCGTCATCACCTGGACTCGAAGACTCGTCTTGTCCAATCTCGCCTAAAGTTTCTACATCGTGAATCCGATTAATGTTTGATCTATTCATTAGTTGAGTTTTTGCTTGGTATGCAGTTTCCCTGTCAGACCGTATTTTGTTGTAGAAGTCTTTCGCTAGTGTTGCGCTCCTCTTTGATTCCTTTGAATTTGCTGTATCTCGGTAACACATACTGCAGGTGCTTGTGTTGTCCCAGTCTCTGATTGAGACTTAGGATTCAAGAGTGGAATCTTGGATCCCTCAACCTTCTGTTTGAAGGTCTCGGATGGTGTCCGCTAGATTGTTCCAACTGGACCTATTCGACATATTATAGTATGTCGCCAAGGTGTCTTTTGGACTGCACGGGTACCCTGGTAGAGAAAAGTATCTACCTTTCTATCCACATAGATCAGCTCATATTGTATCATTGAGATCAACTGTGGTAGCCATTTATCTGAGTGTCTTAGGGGACAACACAACGTGATGGTAGCATCTTGAATATGTACATAATTTAGCATCTGTGGTATTAATAGCCATGGAGGATTTGCCCAGGCATTCTCGTTCGACAAGTCTATCTGGAATCCGTCTCCTTTCGGATGCTTCTAGTACTCCACATTCACAACTAATAACCCACCTACACGGACAGATTACTCCTACTACCTCAGTACCTTTATACGAATATACCGATTATCTCAGAGTCTAGGGAGCACCACTGAAAAAGTATTATTCTTACGAAAGTCGAGGCAGGCTTTGAACCCGCAGGTGCAGGCAAGCAAAGTTTACACCCTCTCAGACGAGTAGGAAATACTTACACTCAGGGTGTAAGATCGCATTATATGGTGAATGTAGTTAAAGCCGGTAGCACTACTGTGAAAATGAGATTATGATACGAATAATTTCTGGGAGCATGTGGTGATCCTTCTAGGACTACTCTTCTCTAGTGTATCTAAGACTTATTATATCCTCAAGGGACTGACCAGAGAGTTATACACCCTATCTTGGTGGGATGAGAGACCGTATTTTAGTTAACTATAGCTTCGCTCCTACCTCGCTACGCATATAATTGTGATTTATAAAAGCCATCTGGATCTCTTGACCCCTCCGTAATATATAGATGTCTTAGGTAGCACAAAAAGGTAACAGAGATAATGGCCAAATGGGTGACCGATTCATTATTTTGGTATAAACTAAGAAGCTCAAGTTTCGGTTATCCACTTGTCCTATGGTTTAAATAACCAAATGTTACACCAAGTTTAACTTATTTGTACACAGAGGTCGACATACCTAGGGGGAGGGAAGGCTGTACCACTGAACTATAAATGTCCCACACAACTTTTTGATAGATTAAAAGAGGAATCGTAGATCCGCTAAGGGATCATCTTTTACATCCCTTCGGGATGGTAGATCTCGGAGAGATCGTACATCCCTCGGGATGTACCATTAACCCTTACCAATCAAATTAGAGTATCTCTGTATAATGGAAGGGGTCCCCCCTCTCATAGG